GAGGATTCCGGGGGCTCTGGGCTGGCCGCATTGGGGTTGTTATAAGATTGGTCGTCTGGGAGGGTTGTGACCCCAGTTCGGGTGTTTGGAAAAACCATCCAGGCCTTTAAAAACATCTAGAGGTCCGTGTTGCGGAAGGCCCAGATGGGTTTTGAAAGGCCCGGCCCCAATGCTGCGGAAGGCCCAGACGGTTTGGAAAGGCCCGGCTGCGTGTTGCGGAAGGCCCGGACGGTTTGGGGAGGCCCGTCCCCGTGTTGCGGAATGCCCGGATCGTTGTTTGGGAAGGCCCGTCCTTGTGTTGCGGAAGGCCCAGAAGGTTTGGGAAGGCCCGGCTGCGCGTTGCAGAAGGTCGGGCCGTTTTGTTTTATGGTTTGGTTGCGTGTTGCGGAAGGCGCATATGTTTTGGGAAGGAGCGGTTGCGTGTTGCGGAAGGCCCGTATGGCGAACCCGAAACCCCAAACCTTCCAGCATACACCCCAAACCCAAAACCCTAAACAATAAGCCCCAAGCAATATACCCTAAACCCTACCCTAAACCCTAAGATCCTAAGGCCCGAAGACCCTAAGACCCTAGGACCCTAAGACCCTAAGACCCGAAGACCCGACGACCCAAAGACCCAAAGACCCGGAGACCCAGATACCCGAAGACCCGACGACCCAAAGACCGAATACCTGGAGACTCAGAGACCCGAAGACCCTCAGAATTGAAGGCCCGAAGACCACCCGAAGACCCTATGTTCCTATGACCCGAATTTAGGGCTTAAGACCCTAAGACCCAAATCCGAAGACCCGAATATCCTAAGACTATTATCCCCAAAGATTCCTCTCGCTTCGCGGGGTGCACGTCGGGACCACGTACAGTCCAGTCGTTGTGGGGGCTCCCAGGAGCCTCTCGGGAGCCTCTTCGAGTCTTCTTGGGGGCCTCTTGGGGCCTCTGGGCCGTCTTGGGGCGCTATTGCGCCGTCTGGCCCCTTCGGGGGCCGTCTTGGGGGGTTTCCGGGGTCGCCTGAAGGCGCTCTTGGGATCCTCTTGGGCCGTCTTGAGGACCTGTTGGACCGTCTTGGGGGCATTTTGGGACCACCAGGAAAGTTGTGTTCTTCGCTTATTGAGGCTCTCTGGGGCCATTTCGGGGGTCTCTTGGGCCGTCGGGGCCGTCTTGGGGCCGTCTCGGGCCGTCTTGAAACCATCTTAAGGCGTCTTGCGAAGAGGCCGGAATCATAGATTTTCAATCGTTTTTTGTACGTTTTCGAACTCGTCCAGGAGTCCTTTGAGGCTGGTCTGGGTCCCTCGGGAGGCCCTGTTGGGCCAGCTTGAAGCCTTTGGGGGGGGCGTCCTGGGCCGTCCAGGGGCCCTCTTTGGGCCATCTTTGAACCCTCTGTGGCCGTCTAGTGTCCCTCTTGAGGCTCTCGTGGGCAGTATTGGGGCCATCTCGGAGGTTTCTTGGGCCGTTTTGAGCTCAAGGAGGCCGAAAAGGGGAATGCCCGAATTTCATCCCAAACCTAAGGAACATCAATGCTAGAGGTTCTCCTGGAGCCCTGTTTGGCCGTCTGGAGAGCCTTTTGGGCCATCTGGAGGCCATCTCGGGCAGTCTTAGAGGCCATGTTCGGGCGCGTTGGAGGCATATTCGGTCATCTTGGCCGTGAAAGCACGGATGCATTCGCTTTTCCTACGGGTCGTGGCTTCGGGATCACGGATTGATTTTTCAAAGCACATGGCCCTCGGGAAGAGGGGGCGATGTCCCATTTATGTGACGGGAGGGGGGGGCCGAAACAAAAAAACATAGAAATCCGAGCAGACAGTCTACAGGCATTCTAGCACGCAAGTGCCACGCAGGCACGGCGGCGGTTTCAATATTGTGATTCACATGCTGCCCACTCTGAGAGAAAAGGATCCGGAGGATGAGGGGGAGGCAGGGAGGAACGCGAGGAACGGGAGGCGTGTTGTGCAAATTCTGTTCGCGCGGCAGTTCAGCCGCCGAGCCAGCCGCCAGCCGATCGGGGAAAAATGAATTTTTGCGCAGGGCGGCGCTCAGGCAGCGGCCAGAGAGGCACGGAGAGATCACGAATCGCTCTTTCGCCATGTTGGGGTCACCTGGAACTCATGGCACCGATGTGGGCGCCTTGCAGGCCCTGGTAAAGCTCTCTTTGGACCCTCGTGGCATCCGTGGTCATCCTGTTGGGGTCACCCGCGCGCCGTGAGAAGAATTAGCAAATCGGATCATCCTCGTCGTCGGCGTCGTCGTCGCCGATTCGGGGGAATCCCGGGATATCCGGGCACGAGTTTGAAACTGACGCCTTCGCTTGGGGCATTCTCCCCAAACCGGTGTGCAAGGAGTGCTTCGACCTGCGCATGCGTCCCCCTTGCGGGGAGTGCGGGGCGAGGCCAGAAAGTAGATTCCCGAACTGCGACGTCTGCAAGGTAGTCCCGCGGCCGCGGAGCACGAAGTACCTGGCAGCCAACAGGCCGTCGTGGACGTGCCCGGCGTGCCCGCGACCGAGCTCGAATTGCCAGGTCTGCGGGGCCCCGTCGCCAGACGCCGCCAAAATTGGTCGGCGCTCTGCGAACTGGGCAGGGCCGGCGCACCTCTACCCGCCATGCAGCGCGCGCAACAGCGCGCCGCGGCCCCGTCACAACGAATACACAGTGCACGTCGTGCCCGCATGGAAACGCGCAGGTTGCGCGCAGACGCGTCGGCAAGGCAAGAAGGGCGCCCAAGGAAAAATGCGTCGCTGGCGCTGCGCTGCAGTTTACCCAGGGGAGAAAGCATTACACTCCAGTCGTTGCGTGGCCTTTGGGGCGCTTCTTCGGGGCCTCCTGGGGGCTTCTCGGGGACTTCCTGGAGGCCTCTTGGGGACTTCTTGGGGCCCCTTGGGTACCTCTTTTGGGCTTCTTGGGCTTCTTTGTAGCCTCTTGGGCCCTCCCGAGGGTGTCTCGGGCCGTCTTGGGGCGCTTTTGCGTTGTATCGCCCCTTGGGAGATCGTCCTGGGGGGGTCCTGCGGCCGCGGCTCTCTTGGGGTCCTTCGGGGCCGTCGAAGGGGCCTCTTGGACCGTCTTGGGGGCCTCTTTGGGCCGTCTTGGGTGCCTCCTGGGCCGTCTTGGGGCCCTCTTGGGGGCTTCTTAGGCCTTCTGGGGGCCATTTTGCAAGCTGCTTGGGCCGTCGCTGGCTTGTCAGAGCCGAGAAAGCGAGAACGCTAAAATCTTCCCAAAACCATACGAAAATCTATCAGTTTGGCTTATGGAGGCGCTATTGGGGGTCTTTTTGGGGCCCTCTTGGGGCGTCTTGGTAGGTGTTTGGGCTCTCTTGGGCCATCTTGGGCCGTCTTGGGGCAATTTTGGTGCTCTTTTGGGCCGCCTTGACGCCATCATTAGCTTTCTTGACGCCCCTTGTGGGCTTCGAGGAGGGTCCAGAGGCCCAAATCAATGATTTCCATGTGTTTTTCTTGGTTTTCACAGAAAGTACGTGGAAGCGGGTCGGCGACTCGGCGGCGGCCCTGGGCGGGGATTAAGGGGGGCTACTTTTCAATGTATGAGAACGCAATGTTTTGCAATTGGCCTTCCTTGACGCATCGTGGCTAGGCCCTGGCGTCACACGCCCGCCCTGTCGGACTGCCGAGACGCTTCGCTGCAGTCCGGACGTGGATTCATTGGCTTACGCCGCACCGCCGACCCCTTTGGGCTGCAGCAAGAGTGAAGGCCAGGATTCGCGGAACGCGCGCGATCGCTGGGCAATCTTGGGGTTTCGGCCTGTCCTTCGTAGCGTGTGGTGTTCAAGGGGGGGCCTTCTAGGGGATTGTTTTGAAGTTGTTCGTGGTCTTGTGTGAGTTTCTTGGGGCCTTCTCGGGGCCTGTCCCAACCCTCCTTCTCCACCTCGGGGATCGTTGAGACCCAGCTGGGGTTGCGTCCGGCCAGAAGTTCGAGGGTGGACCCAGCTGTGTCGACGAGGAACTTCCTGGGCCCAGAGGGGGCGGAGAGCGCCCAACAAGTAGGAGTCTCATGCCTCGAGCCTCGAACCACCCCGTGTTCCTTCCTTTGCGAAGGGGTGGCACCGGCCAGGGAGGTCGATCCTCATCCCCAACTTTCAGCGGTGATTCCAGGCACCGGGATCGGTTCTGGGAAGCTGAATTCGAGGAGATGCCTCGGGTGGTCGAAAGACCACAGAAATCCGTGAGACATCGGCGGCGACGACGAAATCATCTTTCTTCGTTTTCTCCTCATCCTCATTCTCTTTCTCCTCCTCGTCCTTTTCCGTTTCTTCTTCTCGATCTAGGTGGGTGCCCGCGGCAGTTTTTGTATGTATGTGTATATATACACATACATACATATACATATATACATATACATATACATATACATATACATATACATATACATATACATAGACATATACATATACATATACATATACATATACATATACATGTACATCTACACACATATAACGGGGGACCGGGTCCAGGGGCCGGGGGCCAGAACCCCGATCGCAAATGTGGGGCCCAGCGCGCCAGGAGCCTTGCCGGAGCGCCAGGGGCCGTCCAAGCTCGCCCGAAGATGGATTCGGAACGCTCGAAAACGCGTTCCGATGGCTCCGGATGCCTTTAAATACGACTCCCATGGCGCCAAAAAGGCCCCCGAAGGCCCCGAAGACGCCCCAACAGACACTTCGAGAGAGCCCCAATAAGCAAACATCGTCGGTTTCCTATGGGAAAACTGCTGTTTTTGTCGTGTTCGCCTTTTGCGCTTCCTTTGCGTCCAAGACGGCCCAAGAGGCACCCAAGCCGGTCGGGGATGCCCCCAAGAGGGCCGCAAGACGGCCCACGAGGGGGCCAAGACGGCCCACGAGGCGCCAGAGCCGCCCAAGATCGCCCCAAGGCGGCGCCCAAGACGGGGACGAGGAACCGGAATTTCGCGCCTTTTGGCCGAAGAGACCCCCCAGGAGACCCCAAGAGGCTCCAAGAAGCGCCCAAGAAGCCCCAAGAGGCCCCCATGAGACTCTCCATGGCCATTTTGGCTCAAGTTTTCGGATCAGTGCCCTTTCCGCACGAACTTAGTGCCAAGCTGCCAAGCCTATCTCCCCAATGATCGTGCTAGACTTATCCGATATTGTCCACCAAGTGGAGCTTATTTGCGTTGCGGCCTGCGCCACTGTGATGCTGGGGCGCCTGGCTTGGCAGTTGTGGACCGAGGGCGCCTCAAGGTCTCGCTTTCACGATTACTCTGCTCGATTGCTCGCGTTCTCTACAGTCGTCAGGACGGTCATTCTTGGGAAAGACGGCACTCCACAATCTGTTCACAAGCGCAAACAATCCATCAGGCTTGCCATGTCACGGAGAAGCTACCAGTTGTATTGTGTCGCAGCTGTCGGGATGGTTTACCCGATGTTGTTCTTCTCCGCAGATGACCGCCCGCATATGGTTCCCAGGCGCTTGCATTACGCTTTCTCTGGGGTGGTGGTTGTGTCAGTCAATATGTGTCCTAGCTTGTTGACCCCATCACGATTTCATGTGTGGTATTGCCTTCTGTTACTCTCAGATGCGATTTCTTTGTCACCGCTGTTGCAGTTCGCGGAATCGATCAGCCCCCTCAAGTCTCATGTATTGTATGATTGCTTAGTGTACTGCATGATTGACTTCAGCCTTCCAGCGAATTTGTGTTGGACGACACTCTGCTATCTTTCCGCTGCGTCCACAGCGTTTGCTGGCAAGTCCAATGGCATGCCGTGCCACGACCCTAAAACCACAAATGACCTGTTTCTTGATTGGATATGTGTCGTTGTATCTTTGGTAATCTTGCACGTCGTGTTCTCAATGGTGGTCAGTACCCTCTTAGAGGGTCAAGCATGTCGGAGCGAGTTGCGCGCCGCAAAGTCGATCTTAGCAGGCGTTTGTGACGCCGTGGTCGAGCTCGATGCCAAGCTGACGCTCGTGTGGCCTTCCGAAAAGCTCGCGGCTTTGTTAATGCATAGCGAGCCTCGATCTTTGGCGGGAGTGAGTATATTGTCCTTTCTTGCCACAAAGGGCGATCGCGAAAAATTTGCCAAATTGGTAACCTCCAGTACTGCGTATGATGATTGCTGCACGGCTTTTCACATCACGTTGCGGGACACTTGTGGCATCTCTGTGTCGGTGAAAGTTTTCTGCGTGCGCTGCAGTAGTGGTGATAAAAAGGACTCGTACCTGGTCGGCTTTCAAGAATTTGCGGACCTGACTCCACCAAGGAGGAGGACGCACCCGAGAGCGCCGACAATGCCTAGTGCTGAAATGAAGATGGATGTTCAGAGCTGGTGTGCGTCGCACGAGACTGCACACATGTATTTTGGCACCAATTCTGAAGGGGAGTCTGGCGCATCGTCTTCTATTTCCGAGGTTGCTGTTTGGGTCGACGGTATGTCACCAGAGTTAACCATGTTGCGTTGCACCACTGCCTTCGAGATGTTAGTTGGCAGCTCTTGGGCGCAAATCTGTGCCACCCAGAGTAGTATTCTGCAATGTGCTCGGCCAGACCAGCGAAATGACTTGAAGTTTTGGGTTCGTCGTGCCTGCGATAGACTCGAGCTGCCAGCTGTGCACGGGGTGAGTTTCCGTTTCAGTAAGCAGCATCATCGTATGCGTTTCGCCATCGAGAACACGCTGAGAGTGTCCGTGGATCCGCCAGGCGGCGAGGACTGGACTGAGGGCCTGGACCGACCTTCGTGCGTGGTGAAGCTCGTTCTCGAGATGTCCAAGTGGATCCAAGATCAGCGTTGGACCAGGCGCGTCAGCACACCCGTGCGCTCTCACGCCCCTTTGTCAGCAGGCGTCCTCGAGTCGGATGGCGCTGGCGCCGCGGAGGACGCCGGCAACACCCTGACCCCACCGCGACTCATTGACCAGGCGACACAGTCGGTGGTCACGAGCGGGCCGCGTCTCGAGGCCCCCGCGGGCGCTGGTGCGTCTCCGCCCGAGGCTGACAGCGCCCAGAGGTCAGACAGCAAGGGGAGCCGCGCGACTGGTGGCGGGTCGATCTCGCTCTGACTTGCAGTGTTGGCTGGGGAGTGGAGGACGGGGATATGGAGGAGGAAGAGAAGGAAGAAAAGGAGGACGAGGAGGAACAAAAACGGCACATTGTGCCAATCTAGGGGGCCCGCCCGCCCTCACGCGAGCCTGAGAGCTTTTCTATAGAGGCGCCCGCGCCTCACCAGCCTGATTCCCCTTCCTTCCGTCTTTCTCCTCTCCCTCCGAGGCCAACTTCTCCTCCACCTCCCTGACTCTCTCCACATGGGCATTTCTCCGTTGATCTCCGCCCCGCGCTGCATGCACACTCTTGCACGGCCTGCGAGGCCTCCGACACCGCTCAGAAACATCAGGAACATACATGATCGCGTACACTTCTCCGATTCGTTTTGCGACGTTCGGGCCGCTAGCTTGGAGGATGGTGGTGCGAGTCGGAAGTTTCGATGCGATGCTTGCGGCGTGGCTTTGCACACCCACAAGCAGCTCGCACAGCACCGCCGGATCAAGCACGGCGCCCTCAAAGATTTTCCGTTGCTGCGAGCGGCGCCTGCCCAGTCTGCAAGACTGTCTATAGGACTCGCCTTGCCCTGCTCGGCCACCTCTGCCATTCCCATAGGCAGAGGTGCTGGGCGGAGATATGCCAGCATCCCAGCCAGTTAGCACAAATACCAATTAAGGAGGTTGCAGTTCTTGACGCCGTCGACAACGAAGCTCGAAAAGGTGCCCGCCGTTGAGGCAAATTCATGTCAGCACTCCTTCCGTCAATCACCACTCGATGTAATATGAACCTCGGGGCGTTGTGCGGCAGCATCTGGTTGCCATTCAAGCCACAGCCTGCAGGTTGCTGCGTGGGTCCTCTCCCCCAGCATGCCTGTAGTCTGTTTTACAGGTCTTCTGAGACTTCTGCGCACATCAGCGCCCACCCTTCACAGCATTCGTGAAGGCCGCTACGAGAGACCTTGTGCAAGACATGCCTCGGCTCCTCCGCATTCGAAGACCCTCTTTCCCAGTTTATCCTCTCTCCTCTCTTCTTCCTCCTTGCTGCTTTATCCCGCCTCCCGTCTTCCCTTTCCTGCGTCCCTCCGTTCCCCTTACGATGGCTCGCGAGACTCTTGATAAGCCTTACGTGTGGAGTCGCTCTTTCCGTCGTCCGACCTAAGTGTCAGACCGTCGGTTCTTTCTATGTGCCCCGTGCTTCTCTGGACACTGCTGCGACTGAGGGCGGACAGCGCGACACGTGCATCGTGGAGCAAGGTTCCCTACTGGTTCAGTCGGGTATTGTCTGTCCAGAGCAGGTTATGCAGCCGCAATCCCCAACCTGGGCAACGGCAGCCCTCACCCAGGATGCAGTTGCAGCCGCACCAGACCTGATAAACCTACCAGGCGCGTAGCTTTCTGCAGAAATGTGAGATGGCAGTGGGATACACCCGCACATAGCAGGGGGGGCCCATTGCCGTTCGCACCGCAGGCATTGCTTGCTGCATGTTGCTCCAGACCAACAAGGTTTTAGTTCAGAAAGCCCAAGGCTATGCCAACGTCGCCTAAGAGGGCCCAAGGGCAGCCCGAGGGGGCCCCAGGATGACTCCAAGAGAATCACATTTTCTTTGTGTCTTCCGGCCTTTTTGGGGGGGCGTCGTGGAACCCTCTTGGAGCGTCTGGGGGGCCGTTCTGGCCCGTCCGGACCCTTGCGTGGAGCTCTTGAAGCCATTTGCGTATTGCTCAGTTGCTCGCCATCCTGGGGCTGGGCCTTGCAGTTGTAGCCTTCAGATCAGGTAGGATTCCCTGCCGCGGAGAGCTACGCTGCAGAGTTGGGCCCCATCGCTTTGCAATTGTATGGAGGGACGGGGGGTGGGCTTGGCAGGGCGATCCGGTGGGGGGGGGGAGAAAGTGTGGTGGGGGAGGGGACAGGGACGTAGTCGGTACGGGGGCCACCCGCCTGTACACATTGATAGAGAGCATTAACAATTTCGTGCCCCTTTGGCGCATCGGCTGATGGTGGTGGGAGGAGGTCCACGAGAGGAGGAGGTGGGTGGAGGAGAAGGAGGTGGCGCGATCGGCGCCCCAGCTTGTTCGCCTGCTCTCTGGCCGAATGATCGCACGGATTTTTTTGGGCGGCTGAGGACCAACGTTTACAGCCTCTGGCGAGGCGGGGCCACAGCCCTGTTTTATACAAGGAGCGACCTCGATGGTCGCCCGAACAGCACGAGTGCACCGCAGATTTCTCAAGGCTTCTTGTGCGCGGCCTTCTGCGCCTGCCTGCTCAAGTGGATGTAATGTGAATCTAGTATATACATATAGACACATATATATATATATATATATACACTTCTATATATACATGTATATATATATATATATATATATATCCCTGGGGGCGAGGCCGGGGGCCCCAGGACAGGTGCCTCGACCCCCCATGGCGGGACGGGGGGGGCCTGGAGCCTCCCTGGAGCAGCCCAGGCGGCCCAAGAGTGCCCCAAGAGCGCTCCACGACAGGCCATGCTGGCTCCAAGAGGCCCAAGAGGGCGCCAAGAGGGCCCCAAGATAAGCCCAAGACGGCCAAAGAGGCCCCCAAGACGCTCCAAGAGGCCTCCAAGAGGCCCCCCCAGAGGGCCCCAAGAGGCCAAAATAGTTTATTTTACTCAGGTTTTGGAAACATTTTGCTCTTCCCGCCTTTTCAGCTTTCCAACGCTCCACGACGGCTCACAGGCCCCCCGCGGACGCCCCAAGACAGCCCAAGAGGCCTCCAAGAGGGGCTCAAGACGGCTCTGGAGGGCCCCAAGACGGCCCAAGACGCGCCCAAGACGGGCGAAGAGAGGCCCAAGACGGCCCCAAGAGGGGAACCGCGAACCGGAAATTCGAGCCTCCCGCCTCCACAGGGCCCCGGGAGGCCCCAAAGGGGCCCCAAGAGGCCCCAGGAGGCCCCCAAGACGTTCCAAGAGGCCTCCAAGAGGCCCTCCCAGAGGGCCCCAAGAGGCCCAAATCGCTTATTTCACTAAGGTTTTGGACACATGTTGCCTCTCCCGCCTTTTCAGCCCAGCAGGCCTCGAAAATGGCGACAGTTTCGCAGATCGCAGCCCCCCAGGGATGGCGAGGTCTAATTTGAATCCGCGCGTGGCCCTCACTGTGCTGGGCCCCCCAGCAGGCCTCGAAAATGGCGACAGTTTCGCAGATCGCAGCCCCCCAGGGATGGCGAGGTCTAATTTGAATCCGCCCGTGGCCCTCACTGTGCTGGGCCCCCCAGCAGGCCTCGAAAATGGCGACAGTTTCGCAGATCGCAGCCCCCCAGGGATGGCGAGGTCTAATTTGAATCCGCGCGTGGCCCTCACTGTGCTGGGCCCCCCAGCAGGCCTCGAAAATGGCGACAGTTTCGCAGATCGCAGCTTTCCGAAGCTCCACGACGGCTCACAGGCCCCCCGCGGACGCCCCAAGACAGCCCAAGAGGCCTCCAAGAGGGGCTCCTGACGGCTCTGGTGGGCCCCAAGACGGCCCAAGACCGGCCCAAGACGGCCCAAGACGAGCCCAGCTGCCCCGACCCTCCATGGGGGTACCGGGGCACATTTTTCCGTGTGTTTGGCTTCCGCGTCCTGGGCTTCAGAGGCCGCCGCCTCCGACCCCCCATGGGAGGACGGGGCGGCCGGGGAGGTCCAAAATAGTCCAGGAGGGCCTCCAGAGGCTCCCAAGACGGCCCAAGCGGGCCCCGAGTCGCCGAAAGACCGCTCCGGCACGCCCAAGATAGGCCCAAGACGGCCCGAGAGGCCCCCCAAGGCACTCCACGACGCTTCAAGACTCCTCTCCAGAGCGCTTCAGGAGGCCGAAATCGTCAATGTTTACGATGGTTTTCGAACGATTTTAGCCTTCCAGCCTTTTCGGCTGTCCGACTTTCCAAGACGGCTGAATAGGCCCCCAAGAGCGCCCCAAGACGGCCCAAGAGGGCCCCAAGACGGCCCCAGAGTCGCCCAAGACAGCCCAACAGAGCCCCAAGACGGCCCCAAGATGCGCCCAAGAGGGGGACCACGACTCCAAAACTCGACCTCCCGCTTGGAGTGCCCCAGGAGGCTCCAAGGAGCCCCCAAGAGGCCCCAGGAGGACCCCACGAGGCACCCAGGAGGCCCAAACGAGGCCTAAAAAGGCCACAAAACAGCCCCGAGGAGGCCCCACAACGGTCCCAAAACGGCTACCGAGAAGCTGCGAAACTGCCTTCACGACGTCCCCGACAGGCCAACCACGAGATCCAAGCCAACACCCATGGGGCCTCCGACCCACCACCCAGGGCACGGTGGCGGGAGCAGTGACAGCACTTGTGCACAGCATATTCCTGCGGGAGCCTTCCGGAACACGCTGCAGGAGGAGGAGGAGGAAGATCAGGAGGAGGAGGGGGACGAGGAGGAAGAGGCCTCCAAGAAAGCTCCAAGATAGCCGAAGAGGCTTCCAAGAGGGCCCTGGGCGGCCCACGAGGGCCCCAAGGCGGTGCTTGAGGCGCCCAAGACGGCCCGAGAGAGCTCCAAGACGGCCCCAAGAGAGGCCCAAGAAGGGAAACACGAACCGCTCCACGCAGCCAAGACGGCCAATGACGGCTTCAGATTGCAGAACCGATGCCCCCAAGGGACCCTCAGACGCCCCCCAAGAAGCACCCAAGAGGTGCCTCCAACAGCCAGTTGACGAAGCATGCGGAACACCCCAGAAGCTCCTCAGATGTCGTCGCGCGCCTGTGTTTGATAGCGTTGTCTAAGATCGTCCAGCGCCCCCCCGGCCTGGGCTAGAACCTGAGCGCGCGCTCAGGATGGCCTGGACATTATGCCCGGGCCCGGGCATATTGTTCTGAGTCCTGAATGGATGAGCATCTCACCCAAATCCACAATTCCCGGATTCCTTGGGGCCTTCGGAGACTCCGCGACGTGTCAAGAAGCCGGGAGGCGCGGTATTGGCCAGAAGTCAGGGGATATGTAGGACCCCCGAGTAGGAGTTCTACTTTGATAAAAAAAAAAAAAAGAATTTTTTGAATTCCGTTTTCCCCAAATCCTCGATCTTTGAGGGCTGGAAGCGGGAAAACGTGAGACGGCGAAAAACATATGAAAAACCATGGGAAATCAACGATTTTGCCCTCTTTGGGCTCTCTCGGGACGGCTCTCGCAGCTCTCTTGGGCTGTTCTTGGAGCCTCGTCGGGGTCTCTTTGGGGCCTCTCCATGATGGGGTGTGTGTTGGGGGCTGGGCCTCTGGGGGGTCCCGGAGGCCTCTCGGAGGTCTCTGGAAGCCTCCTGCTCCCGCTCTTGGGCCCATTTTGGGCCTGTTCTGGGGTGGTCTGGGGCTGTGCTGGGCGCCTCGTCGGCAGTCTTGGAGCCTTCTTGGCCTGTCTTGGGGCCGTCCTGAGGGTCTCTTGGGTAGTCTTGGGCCGGTATTGGGAGGCTCTTCGGCGCTCTTGGACCGTTGGAAGCTCGAAAACGCGAGAAGCCAAAAACATTGAAAAGACCATTGAGCATATACGACTTTGGCCTCTGGTGGCCGTACCGTGATACCTATCAGACTTCTTGGGGTCTCTTGGAGGCCACCTGGGAGCCTCGAGATCTTTTCAGCGCGTTCCGGGAGCATCTTCCCGGAACGCGCTCGTGGCAGGGCGCCCACGTCCGAGGACGTTGGCATGGGAAACCGCAGCGCGTGATCATTCCAGGCGTTCCGGCGGACTCCAGGAAGACTGCATGTCTTATGAGGATGGCTTCCGCCTCTTGCCCCGAGCATCTCAAACTGCCTGAACGGTTCCCAATCGCCTTCCCCAAACCCAGCGCTTGCCCAAGCGCGTTCCGGACGAAAGACCGCTCCAGGACGCCCAAGATAGGCCCAAGACGGCCCGAGAGGCCCCCCAAGGCACTCCACGACGCTTCAAGACGCCTCTCCAGAGCACTTCAGGAGGCCAAAATCGTCAATGTTTACGAAGGTTTTCGAACGATTTTAGCGTTCCAGCCTTTTCGGCTGTCCGACGTTCCAAGACGGCTCAATAGGCCCCCAAGAGCGCCCCAAGCCGGCCCAAGAGGGCCCCAAGACGGCCCCAGAGTCGCCCAAGACCGTCCAACAGAGCCCCAAGATGGCCCCAACATGCGCCCAAGAGGGTGACCACGACTCCAAAATTCGACCCTCTGGCTTGAAGAGTGCCCCAGGAGGCTCCAAGGAGCCCCCAAGAGGCCCCAGGAGGCCCCAAGAGGCACCCAGGAGGCCCAAACGAGGCCTAAAAAGGCCACAAAACAGCCCCGAGGAGGCCCCACAACGGTCCCAAAACGGCTACCGAGAAGCTGCGAAACTGCCTTCACGACGTCCCCGACAGGCCAACCACGAGATCCAAACCAACACCCATGAGGCCTCTGACCCACCACCCAGGGCACGGTGGCGGGAGCAGTGACAGCACTTGTGCACAGCATGTTCCGGCGGGAGCCTTCCGGAACACGCTGCAGGAGGAGGAGGAGATCAGGAGGAGAGAGAGCTGGAGTGGGAGGAGGAGGAGAAGGGGGACGAGGAGGAGGAAGAGGTCTCCAAGACAGCTCCAAGATAGCGAAGAGGCTTCCAAGAGGGCCCTGGGCGGCCCACGAGGGCCCCAAGGCGGTGCCTGAGGCGCCCAAGACGGCCCGAGAGGGCCCCAAGACGGCCCCAAGAGAGGCCCAAGAAGGGAAGCACGAAACGAGAATCCGAGCTTTCTACCCCGAGAGGTTCTCGGGAAGTCCCAAGAGGCCCCCAATCGGATCCAAGAGGCCCCCAAGAAGCTCCCAAGAGGGCCGACGGGGTTCCAAGAGATCTCCCAAGGTGGCCCCAAGAGGCACAACTCATTGTTTTACGATTGGGCTTTGACGGGTTTCAATTGTTTC